GAACATGTTCTTGTGACAATGAAAATACAGAGGTATAAAAAATGTATACACATTTTAAGAAAGAAACTGTATTAAAATTGTAATCCTCAGTACTTATCAGTAACGGATGATGAATACAAGTCACGTTTGGGCGTCCCTTGTAGTTGTAGAAGTCAAATGTGTCTGGAGTATTACAATTTTAATACAGTTTTTGTCCTTATTTAAAATGTGTATTCCTCTTTTTGGCACTGTCTGTGTACCGTGTGTGCTTTGAAAGACACTTAGGGGATGACGTGAAAGTTTTCTAGCATAGTGTGCTCTGATATGGGGAGGTGGGTTTAGAGCATCTTTTGAGAATGAAATGATATATGATGATTTACAAGTAAATTTTTGGTAGAGCTAAAGGTTAGTACTTCTATCAAAACTTACTCATTTTAATGTTGTAGGTTAAAACTCTTTCTGCTTTAGCAGAGAATATGAAACAGTATTTGAACTTTTATTTACACATATTTGAATTGTATCTATTTTGTATTAGATGCTGAAAATTATGAAATTATTTCCTTTCAAGTTTTTTTTAAATTTTGGATTTTAGTCATGTTTCTTGTTGTGTTGTCTGTCTGTAACCTGACTTCTCTCTTCTATTTGAGGTTGCTAATTTATTTATTTTTAAACCATATGGCCAAACTTTAAAAAAATTGAACTTTATAAAAATCAGGATGAATACCTTAAGAATTCAAAAATTTCAAGTGGTTAGTGGAAAGCTAATGTTGCCTTCTTTTGGTAACTGCATTCTAGATATGTATTGCAATTAGTCATATGTAGCTATTTAAGTTTTTGAAAATTATAAAGTAAAAAATTCTTTCGTAGTTGCGAGCATTCACCAGCCACATTTCAGGTGCTGACTAGCCTTAGTGGCTGATGGCTACTAAGTGGCTAATGACAGCATAGGTACAAAACAGCTCCATCATCTCAGGGTTGTACATGGTTGTTCTAGTTGGTTGATGTAGATTTTAGAAGATAATTCTTTTTCACTAATGTAAAGATCCAGCAGAAAGTTCCTGCACGTGAAACTAATTGAATAGAATATTCTGTTACTAAGTGTATTTATGTTCTTGGCTCTCATTTTGCTTTTAAAGGTGAAATTAACTTTAATAGTTTCCTTCTTCCTTGTAGTCCAAAATGTAGGTTTGAATACAAACGGTCTGAAACACCTAGTAGGTACTATTGCTACTGTGAGAAGGTAGAAGACCCACCTTTGGATCCGTGGCTTGTGCCTCATTCATGTGGCCAGGTGTGTGAGAGAGAGTTTAAACCTCCTTGTGGCCATAAGTGTTTACTTCTTTGTCATCCAGGTGAGTTGTGAATCACATTTTTAGTTGTTTGAGAGGGGTTATTTCTTCTTTTGTTAAGGCAAAAAAAAGAAACAACCAAAAAACTGTGAAAGTTGTACTTAGAAGTTAAGTTTGCTATGAAAAAATATTGCAAAGGGATTGCCTTTTAAAGTATCAGTAAAGAAGGCTCTAGAAATTATTGATAGGAATAGAAATTGATAGTTTCAATTTTTGACTTCAGATTTCTTTCCCCTTTCATTGGATTCTAGGGCCCTGTCCTCCTTGTCCAAAGATGGTCACAACTACTTGTTACTGTAAGAAAGCAAAACCTATCCCTCGTAGGTGCAGCGCCAAGGAATGGTCCTGTCAGCTTCCCTGTGGACGGAAGTTGCTTTGTGGACAACATAAGTGTGAAAATCCTTGTCATGCAGGTAAAAGCCACAGCTGTTAGATGTTCTGACTTTGTTCTCTGTTACTTTTGTCATGTTTCTGTGCTGATTGATCCTTCTGGTTTTAGGAAGTTGTCAGCCCTGTCCAAGAGTTAGTCGACAAAAGTGTGTCTGTGGCAAAAAAGTAGCTGAGAGAAGCTGTGCGAGTCCCCTGTGGCACTGTGATCAGGTAGGTGGACGTGCATGTAGGGCTGGGTATGAAAGAGCGTGCAAGGTGTGAACACCTGCAAAGCAGAAATGCTAATTTGGTGTCATTGGTGTCATTGGATAGAAGTTGAGGAAGAATAGCACATGAGTTCTATCATGTTTTAGGAAACTACTTTTTTTATTTAATTATTGAAGGAAGTTTTCTTTTTCTTTTTCTTTTTTTTTTGGAGACAGTCTCACTTTGTCACCCTTGGTAGGGTCCTATGGTGTCACAGCAATCTCCAACTTAAGCGATTCTCTTCCCTCAGCCTCCCGAGTAGCTGAGACTACAGGTTCCCGCCACCATGCCCAGCTATTTTTTGTTGCAATTCTCATTACTGTTTAGTTGGCCAGGGCGGTATATGGGGCTGGCGCCCTACCCACTGAGCCACAGGCACCACACTGAGGGAAGTTTTTTTCAAAGTAATAGCTATTTGTTGAATTTTGAATTCAGAACATTTGTACTTTCTTTCTCACCTCTTTTCCTTTTCCTCGTTTTCTCCTCTTTTTAGCCAATAATCCTCCTATTTTGAGTTAGGCTAGTTGGGGAAGTAAGATTGATTTTTCAATAGGTTGCTTGTCCTTGAACTGGTATAGTTATAATGCTACTTGGAAATCTATCTTTTGTGGATGGCCATGTGAAACATTATGTAATTTTTTTCTTGTATTATATATTTTTTTCCAAATATTATGTGTATGTATTTATTTATTTTTTTTATTAAGTCATTTGTACATAGATCATAAATACATTTATGCCATTATGGGATTCAATGTGTTGATTATTTGTACAAATTGGAGTGCTTACATCCTACTAATCAACATAGCCTTCACCTCATTTACCCAATTACAGGATTAAGACATTTGTGTTCTACACCTGACGGATCCAACTTGCACTTGCAGTATGCTCCATAGGTGTGGTCCCCTGACAACCCTCCCTCTATCAACCTACCCCCGTCCCTTTCTCTCTCGTGTGTGTATTTAATGCACACTGTATACCAGGGGTCCTCAAATTTTTTAAACAAGGGGCCAGTTCACTGTCCCTCAGACTGTTGGAGGGCTGGACTGCGGGCCCTGGGACAAGTCGGCTGCTAAGCAAGACAGGTAGTGGCAGCAAAAATACCCAGCTGGCCAGATAAATGTCCTAGGTGGCTTGCATGTGGCCCGCGGGCTGTAGTTCCAGGACGCCTGCTGTATACTCTTCATTGTATATTCCATCTGCCGGCCTGTCACACCCAGCTTCTAAACTTTGAAAGGAAGTATTTGATCAGCTGCTACCTATTGTTTGTGAATGGGGAACAGAAGACCTACCAGTAATGCACCACTTATATACTCAGAGAACACTCTAACAAGAAAAAGTGAATTAAAAAAAATACCACGGCAGCCAACATGAGCCTACACTAAACAACCTGGATCAGAAGTACCCAAACACTAAGTAATGTCATGTATTTGGATACTTATTTTTAAAAGGTAATTTTAAAATACACTCTGGTGCATAGGAATTCTCTGTGTGTATATACATATGCATGTATGTGTGTACATGTGTGTATATCTGTATATGAGTGTACATATGTTTGACACCTAGGTAAGATAGAAAGTGTAATCTGAGGGACATAAGTTTATTTGTGACTAAGGAATGAATGTCTTGTATAAAGTCTTTTTTGTTAACTTTTACATCCTTCACTAGTACTTGCTGCATTTATTTTAGGTGTGTGGGAAAACTCTGCCCTGTGGTAATCACACCTGTGAGCAAGTTTGCCATGTTGGTGCTTGTGGAGAATGTCCTCGATCTGGGAAAAGGTTCTGTCCATGTCAGAAATCAAGTAAGAATGTTTTTGTGGGTTTTTTTTTTTTTAAACAGTCTCAAGCAGTCTCCGTGGGTAGGGTGCCGTGGCGTCACAGCTCACAGCAACCTCCAACTCTTGGGGCTTAAGTGATTCTCTTGCCTCAGCCTCCCAAGTAGTTAGGACTTCACGTGCTTGCCACAATGCCTGGCTAGTTTTGGGTTGTAGTTGTCGTTGTTTGGCGGGCCTGGGCTGGATTTGAAC